TTCCGGAGCCATGGACGCTTTGCTGGCACTTACGGTATTTCTACATGACAAAGTTTTGCCAATTAAACTTATGTTAACATGCAAAAATCAAGAAAGCAGAAATCACCAGAAGGTATTCATACTTGCTCCCTCTGTCGACAGATCACGTCCACACTGCACTTGTGGGAAGGAAGAGCTAATCCCTGTGCATCTTGGGATTCCGTCTAAGTTTTTTCACAGTCTCCTCTGCTGTAGGGAACAGCATCTTGAATAGTTCTGTGAGGTTTCTGTGCTGAGGAAAGTCTAAGCAGCACAGCAGCCTATCCCCCTCTCCCTGCAGCAGCAATCTACCAACTGTGAGGCAGAAGAGGAGCATTCCAATGGTTTGGCTCCCCAAAGGAAGCAGCTTACTCAGCTGTCAAATACTTCCCAGAGCTTTGAAAGGGGCAGGGCACATGCCTGCAGGGCAGCAGAGACCAGAGCAGAGTGATCAGGGGAGGGATTCTGGTGGAAGCCAAATCTGTCAGCAAAAGAAACAGCAGTGTATACACAGGCTCTTTGTCGACAATAAAGGGAGGGGGAAAAGAAAGTCTCTGCTGGGGTGGAAGTATTTTGTTGTGGAAACTGGGCATTTTTCCTGACAAATGTCACATTGCACTGTGTACACTCTCACTGTCTTGTCACCAAAAGGCAGTTTTTGGTGATGACATCTGATAGCATAGACATCTGATAGCTTCCCTGTGCTAATCCCCTGACAATTAGCTATCAGCCATTAGGTGGTGTAGCAAGGTGGAGTAGCCAAAGCTGACAGGAAGGAAACATTCTACCTATTGTAGAGACTTCATTACAAATCAAGGGTTCATGTTTCCACTGACACATCATATTGAAACATAATATGACATGCTAAACAGGATCTCATTCATCAGGACTTGCTTCCCTTTGCTCTCTGCCTCTGGTAAACAGTCCAATTACCTTCCAACTAGCTGCAATTTTACAGTCTATGTAATTGTTCTATGATATTTATGTTGATTCCTACAGGGTTTCACTAAATTGATTTTACAGACTAGAAAGGAAGTGCCGTATCTTTTACCTGGGTGATATCTTCCGGAAGCAGCATTTCTTCCTTTGTCTAGTCACACAATTACCTTGATTAACATTTTATCTAACGCACCATTTTTCCTCCTCTGCTCTATGAAGAGTTTTGAAACACTGGATAAATCTCCCCCCCCCCCCCCCCCCCACACACAGCCAAATCTTAAGAAACGTATCTGTTTATTTTGCTATCAATCAACTTGTCATATTTATATGGAATCCCAGCCCAACACGTGCGAAGAAGGCAGAGAGGCACCAGCTACTTAGCAGAAAATTTGAGAAAGTCCTTAGGCTGAAAAAGTTTATTAAAAATCCTGAGCTTGGACAGTCTGAATGCTGTTCAGCTAAAGAGAACACCAGCTGAAACTAATCACCAAAAAGAAAACAAAGTCACAGATTTTAAACATTTAATTTTGTTTTCCTTTCTCCTCCCCTCCCCCAGAGTACTCTTGTCACCATTTGCTTGTACTGTAACATGTAGCAGGCATTTCAGTTTGATTTGTCACACAAACAAAAATTAGAATACTTTAAGAAAAGAAGAAGTCGGGGCAGATCACCTGTACCAAATGATTCAGATTCATACTTTATATTATTGTGAATGAAGAAGAGGCATGACTAGACCATGCTTCAGAAAAACTAGTAGTGGTGAAAATGAAGGCCTCAGTCATGCCTTACTTTGCAGATGTGGAGAGGGTGCAACAGTGGCGTAGCGGGGGCGGGGAGGCAGTTGCCCCTGGGAACCACACTAGAGGGATGTCAATTTATTCCATCTCCGTTCCCCCTGTCATCCCTCGGCTTCTCTGCTCCTCCACCACCCGCTGGCGGCGGCTGGAGCCTCCTCTCTGCCCCCAGCCTGACCCTCCTCCATCTTCACTGGCGGGTTAGTGTGTGCGGGGGCCCGGCCCCAAACTGGAGGGGGCAGGGGAAGATGCAGTACAAGCTCTCTCCCCTCCTCTCAGGGTCAGGCTCAGCTATGCACCAGGTTTGGGGCCCCGTCATGCGGCAGTAGCAGGAGGGGATGCACGCAAATTTTGCCTTTGCTCCTGGGTGTATAACACCCTCGCTACGCCTCTGGGATGCAAAGTGCTTTTTCCCACCAGAATTTTTGCCCAAGACATTGAGCCATTTGCTGTCCTGTAACCAATCTCCTCCAAAGGATTCATGAGAAGCAAATGCTAGAAAGACTAGGAAGTGTTGGTGGCTGCTGTGTGCATGAGTCAGAGAACCATGGGTATCCTATCCCGTCCATGAAGTTAGAATCTATGGGTGAGCTAGCAGGGAGCAAGGGCAGGGTAGGATGGCCAAGAGTTTCTGACTGATGCACACAGCAGCCACCAACACCTACTAGTCTTTCTAGCATTTGCTTCTCATAAAGCCTTAAGAGGAGATCAGTTGCAGGACAGCTCCCCCACAGTCACGTGAATGCCGGCTGTGGCTTAAAAGCAACAATCTGGCCCCAAACTTTCTCCCTCTGTAAGACATAGTGTCTCTAACTGTGCTACAAATGAATGGGCCCCATGGGTGCACAGGTAATGTAGGCAAGGGAAGACACAGCTTTCCCAAAACTGCCTACGTGACTGACTGCCTAAGGCTGCAGCCACTGCTGGAGAAGGCTGAAACCACTATGGGTATGTCTACACTACCCCCCTAGTTCGAACTAGGGGGATAATGTATGCATACCGAACTTGCTAATGAAGCCCGTGATTTGAATTTCCCGGGCTTCATTAGCATAAAGCCGGCGCCGCCATTTTTAAAAGCCGGCTAGTGCGAACCCCGTGCCGCGCGGCTACACGCGGCACGGACTAGATAGTTCAGATTAGGAAGCCTAATTTCACCTGACAGCCATGATGGGCCCTAAACACAGATGAACAAATCTCAGCAGCTAAAGGCAGTTATGGTAGCTCAAATGCCCATTTCTGAAAAAGTAGAGAAGCTCATTTTGTAAACTGTACACAATTAATGCCCTGATCCTGCAACACCTATGCACAGGGCTCGACAATTAGGGCAATCTACTCGCCCGTGGTGAGAAGATTTTAGCCCGGCACGGCGCCGCAGCACAATCAGCGCATGCGCAGCGTGCCAAACCGCGGGGCTGGAGAGCAGGGCTCGCCACCGCTTGTCAAGCCCTGCCTATGCACATATTACCTATAGTAACAGAAATCGTCACATTGATTCCACTGGAATTGTTTGAGTGAAGTTGTAAATATTCATAACTGTTTTCAGGACTAAGTAATATATTAACATTTTCTAAATGGTTTTTCCATGCAAATGTATTGCTCTTTAAGGGTGTGTCAAAATACATCCCTCTGTCGAAAGGGGGATGTAAATTAGGCAAATCGAAAGTGCAAATGAAGCGGGGATTTAAATATCCCATGCTTCATTTGCATAATCGCATCACAGCAGTCTTTTGAAAAAGGGAATTTCGAAAGTGAAACCGCCGTCTAGATGCGGTTCTTTCGGGGGAAAAAACCCTTTTTCGAAAGATCTCGTACTCCTCAAAAATCCCCACTTCATTTGCATTTTCGATTTGCCTAATTTACATCCCTCTTTTGACAGAGGGATGTAGTTTAGACACACCCAAAATGAAAGATTCAAGTCCTAATTCCAAAATGTGGAAATGCACACTGCCCTTTACTGTATTGAAAAATTAAGTCTCTCACATATGTGTTGAAAGAGATCAGGTTTTTCAAGGCATGTGGCGATTTATGCTTATGCATCTGAGATTAGACTCTAGCCCTGCACTTAGCCCTTCAAGAAGCTGGAAGGTTAGTTATCCAGTAGTATCCTTCAAAGATTAAAGTACAGATGGCAAACAATAGAAAGTTACAGAATCCAAAATCAGTCATGCCAGAACTTACAAAAAAAAAAAAAAACCCACACATTTTCATATAGATCAGTGGTGGGGAACATAGGATCTGGGGGCTTGATTATGGTCCCCGATTTGTCTGAATCTGGCCCCTAGCACTGGGCAGCCCACGCTAGTGCTCCAGACCCCCTGCCCCGCTGTCCCTCCATGGGGCTGGAGCTACAGATGTTAAATGACATTTAATCAGCTTATCAACTAGTTGATGGAATTTCCATCGACGAGTCGATTAGTTGATAAGGGTCGGAAACTGCAGAGCCACACCAGGAGCTAATCCTGCTGTGGCTCTGCCTTTTAAATGTATTAAGAGCTGTCAGGTTCTTAATATGTTTAAAAGGCTAAAGCACAGTGGGGAGGACCAGGCGTGAGCCAGGACAGCTGATTCCTGGCTCATGCCTGGTCCCCCACTACACCTCTGCCTCCCCTATCCTCCACAGAGATGGTGCTGGGGGAGAACTGGCTTTTAAGCCAGCTCCCCCCAGCACAGGCTCCTGCTTCCCCTGCGATTGCTGCCTCTCTCTAATAGAGGCAGCAAGTGGAGGCGGAAGTGACTACTCGCTTACATCCCTAGCTAGAGCACACAAAATTTACTAGCTTGGGCCGCCCAAGGCTCTGGTATGAGAGTGGAAGGTCTCCTCCTCTGAGGCTGCCTTAGTGAGGGCTTTGTTTTGTTTTTTTATTCTCTCTTGTGTGCAGCCATTTACTAATTTTCTTGTGGGTCAGTAGTTCCTGACCCAAAAAAGGTTCCCCACCCTGACATAGATGCTATGAAAACTAAAATTGTATGTACTATGGCTTCCTTTACACTTTCAACGTTTATGTGCATTCTTTATGCTGTAAAAGTCTTCTCAAATAAGACTTTTTCCCAAGAGTGATACAATGGTACTAATTACGCAGAATAGCTTTGGTTTGGTTGAAAGAGCCTACAATGCACTGAATACTCACCAAAAAAGGCTATAGGAAATTTACAGTAAGTGCACTGATCACTTTAAAAAATAAAATCATACTCCTCCTTATTTTAGTCACTTTTTATGAATGCATTTAATTGACTATAAAATAAACATACCTGTGTTCTGTGAGAACATTTACTGCTGATGGGTGGTTGGCACAATATGCAAGGTACAAATTTTTCATCTGTGACATCAAATTTAGAAAGCATCCTCCGACCCTTTGCTGAGTTTCAGGCAATCTGAAGTAACATAAAAAGATTAAATTATAGTAACACTATCAAGAATACCAAAAATCTTAAACAGCAAGAACATGTTATACTTTGAGAACAGTGATTCAACACACTTCATTTAAAATTAAGAAAGGCTTTTATTATTCTAAAACAGTATTTCTCAAAGTGGGCTGAGGGGTAGCTCTGAGAAAGCTGCTGCTGGGCCGCTCCGGTTTGTTTACTTACCGGTTCCGCAGCCACGCAGCCTCACGACTCCTATTTGCTGCAGTTCTCCATTTGCAGCCAAGGGGAGCTGTGGGAAGCAGCAGCCCGGGCCAGCTCCCGCAGTTCCCCTTGGCTGCCCACAGCAAACCAGAGCCAATGGGAGCTGCGAGGCTCCATGGCTGCAGAGTCAGTAAGTAAACAAACTGGAGCAGCCTGGTAGCAGCTTTCTCACTGTGGGCCCGTGGACCACTTTGAGAAACACTGCTCTACAACCATCAGTCTTTCCCAGAACCAGGAACTATAAATATCTTCCTCTCCCAAAGCTTCAACCCTATAATCACCATACACCACCATTCAAAGCTATACATTCTACATGATTCGGTAGGCAGAATGTACAGTGACACTTATAATTCAAAGTAGTTGTTCTCATGATTTTTCACATCAAAGTTGTACTGGTAAGACAATGTTGGCTAGGGATGTGATTTTTTTTAACCAATATAGTTATACCTATACAAGCCCCAATATAGGTGCAGCTATACCAGCATATAGGGGACTTACACTGGCATAGCAGACTTCCTGCCAGTGAAATAGTTACACAGTACTGGTGTAAAGCACCGTTACACAAATATAACACTATATTCATACTAAAAGGATTGTACTGCATTAACAAGTTGTAAAATGGTACAACTTTCCAGTGTAGACAAGGCCTTTGTCAATTGCTCATACACCTTTTCTTGTCATTTACTTTTAATGAAGGAATTTCCCACGTTGGGTCTCTGCATGAGGATGAATTTGGCGGAAAAGTTTCAATAAAAACAATTGAACCATTTTTAAAAGAGGTTGTTGTTTTTTTTCCTTTCTTGAGTGCTTTAGCCTCAGCACAGGCAACAAAATTGAAATGTGTCAAGGAGTCTGCCTTTAGGAGGAAAGTTGTTTTTCACAATGTCTTGGTCAAGATCCGTTTAGATATATCAGAGAGATACATACATTGTATTACATACAAGCACGGTATACTTTTTAAAAACTGTTTTGTGTGCATAATTATCTCTCAAATTTCTATGAGCAAGGAGTTAAATGTAGATGCTGTTAAGTTAACAGAATGTAACTTGGGGTAACCCAGAGGAAAATCAGGCCCTGAATTCTAAAATGCATATATACAAAGGGGACAAAGTTAAGGCTGTGCGGGTAATCTTATTTTTGTCACTTCCTTACTTTTAATATTTCACTTCACAATATTAATGTTTATTAGTTTCATCCCTAGAAAATATTAATGAGCAATAGAATAATTATACTAATTCCCTTTCAACCATAAAGTCATTTCAATTTGAGGAAATACACATTGATGGGAATTAGGAGGGAAGAACCCAAATTTAGCAGTCTAGTTTTGTTTTGTTCCTTCTCTGACTACCATCAGGGCTGCTCACAATACTACTACTATAATAATTTACATCCTTCATATGTTATTTTAGACATTTTATTGGCAGGCATGTGTTATTTTGGGAGAAAGTGCTATACTTTCAATTTTAAAACAATAGGTGGGAAATTACATTTTGTCTAGACTAGAAAACTGACTTGTTGGAAATGATTATCAAAATAACTGGCATTTCCCAAACTGGCGCTAAAAGCTTTACAGGTACTGTAGATGGAGTAAACCTTTTCAGCATTATTACAGGATGTGCTTGCTCTTGACACTTAAGCTCACTACTTCCAATCTCTTCAACAATAATCTTCCATTTCCCTGAACAGTGACTTGAGAAATTTATCTTCCCTTCATAGAATCATAGAATAATAGGACTGGAAGGGACCTCAAGAGGTCATCGAGTCCAGCCCCCCGCCCTCAAGGCAGGACCACGCTCCGTCTACACCATCCCTGACATCCCTTGTATTGCATATCTTGTCTCTCTCAGCTTGTAAACTCTTTGGAGCAAAGGCCATATCTTAATTTAACACGCTGTGTAAATTTGCAGCACAATGGGGAAAACTTTTAAACTAAAACACTATAAAGTTACTGTATCGCTCTTTAAATCAGAATGAAATAATCTGCAACCCTTTGCCTCTGACCATATATTTGGTCACTTTTAGAAAACATCCATTAAATGAAACAATGTTCAAGTTTGGAATTTCCAAAGCAACTCAGACTGTCTGGTAAGCATTAGGAATATGACCCATTATTGACATGGATCCCTTTGACCAAGTACAGGCAGTCCCCGGGTTAGGTACAAGATAGGGACTGTAGGTTTGTTCTTAAGTTGAATTTGTATGTAAGTCGGAACTGGCGTCCAGATTCAGCCGCTGTTGAAACTGCCCAGCAGCGGCTGAATCGGACACGCCTGGGGCAGAGCAGCTGGGGGGCTGCCGGGGTGGTCCCCACAGCGCCGAGATGTGGAGCTACTGGACCAACGCAGCAGCACCCCAGCTGCTCTGCCCCAGGTGTTCCCAAGTCAGCCGCTGCTGGTCAGTTTCAACAGCGGCTGAATCTGGACGCCTGGGACAGAGCAGCTGGGGCGCTGCTGAGTAGGTCCCCGCAGCGCGGCGCTGCGGGGCCCAACCCAGAAGCACCCCAGCTGCTCTGCCCCAGGTGTTCCCAAGTCAGCCGCTGCTGGTCAGTTTCAACAGCGGCTGAATCTGGACGCCTGGGACAGAGCAGCTGGGGCGCTGCTGAGTAGGTCCCCGCAGCGCGGCGCTGCGGGGCCCAACCCAGAAGCACCCCAGCTGCTCTGCCCCAGGTGTTCCCAAGTCAGCCGCTGCTGGTCAGTTTCAACAGCGGCTGAATCTGGACGCCTGGGACAGAGCAGCTGGGGCGCTGCTGAGTAGGTCCCCGCAGCGCGGCGCTGCGGGGCCCAACCCAGAAGCACCCCAGCTGCTCTGCCCCAGGTGTTCCCAAGTCAGCCGCTGCTGGTCAGTTTCAACAGCGGCTGAATCTGGACGCCTGGGACAGAGCAGCTGGGGCGCTGCTGAGTAGGTCCCCGCAGCGCGGCGCTGCGGGGCCCAACCCAGAAGCACCCCAGCTGCTCTGCCCCAGGTGTTCCCAAGTCAGCCGCTGCTGGTCAGTTTCAACAGCGGCTGAATCTGGACGCCAGTTCCGACTTACATACAAATTCAACTTAAGAACAAACCTACAGTCCCTATCTTGTACCTAACCCGGGGACTGCCTGTACTGACAATTCAACAGCTTGCATAGGGAGAACAACATCATTTTCACTCCTTCTCAATAATGTTTTCTTTAAAGGTGCTAAAAACAATTTTATCCTATA